CATCTGACCAATCACAGCAGTGAGGGCTCACGGAAAGGAGGGGTTTAGAGAGACTGATTCTTTGAACTGCTTCGCACAAGTCGAAAACTAACGTGTTTTTTGACCTTGCATGAATGTAAACCTGTTTTAGGAGACTCATAAAACAATATTAGCAACCTCAAGAATGGCATAATAGGGGCACTTTAAAATGACTTAATGCACTTCAAACTAACATGAACAAGCAATAAACAATCGTATTTTTATGAACTAATATTAACAAAGATTAATAAATGGGTCAAAGATAAGACGTCACCATTTTTGTCTCCGCATCAAATTACATTTACAAATGTCATTTTGTAATGATTTTACCATTACATCTTTAATGACTAACCCTCATGTTGTTCCAAACCCATAAGACCTTCGTTCATCTTTGGAACAAAAATTAAGATATTTTTGATGAAATCCAAGAGCTCTCTGACCCTCCCATAGACAGGAAGGGTCCTACCACGATCAAGGCCCAGAAACGTAGTATAAGGACATTGTTAAAATAATCCATGAGACATCAATGGTTCAACCGCAATTTTTTTTTCAACCGCTATTTTTGTTTTCTTTGCACACAAAAAGTATTCTCGTAGTTTCGTAAAATTACAGTTGAACCACTGATGTCACATGGATTATTTTAACGATGTCCTTACTATGTTTCTGGGCCTTGATCGTGGTGGGACCCTTGCTGTGTATGGGAGGGTCAGAGAGCTCTCAGATTTCATCAAAAACATCTTAATTTGTGTTCCGAAGAAGAACGAAGGTCTTACGGGTTTGGAACGACTTGAGGGTGAGTAATTAAATGACAGAATTTTAATTTTTGGGTGAACTATCCCTTTAACAATTTTCCTCTAGTTTTAAAGCTGATTTCAAGAAAGCATTTTGTATATCATCAAGAAACTACATGACATGAAGTGTGACACTCTAAAATTCAAAAAAATAATTACACACTACACAGACAATATATTGGACAAAACCAACCGAAGTTTTAAAAACATTTAAACAGTTTCATTATCGGTTTATTTCTTATTATTTCTTTAAACTTCTGCAAAATCGTTATGAAGTTAAGTAATCTACTGTAGCTTCATGTTAAGTGTGAACTTCGGTATAGAAAAAGGAAATTACATCATGAGATGGCACAACCACACAAAGCCACAGAAGGCTACATCATGAAGTAACTGCTCAAAAAATTTACAAAGCACTCACATTTAACAATAAAGTTGACTCTATTTGAAGATTAAAGGGGTCATATGATGCGATTTCAAGTTTTCCTTTCTCTTTGGAGTGTTACAAGCTGATTGTGCATAGATAAGATCCCTGAAGTTGCAAAGACTAAAGTCTCAAAACCAAAGAGATATTCTTTATAACTGTTAAGACTCTGCCACACCCCCCTAAAACGGCTTGCTCTAACACGGCCCCACATATCTACCTCACTATGTGGAAATATTTGCGTAATGCCGCCCAAATGTTCAATGATCTTTAAAAAAGCATCATATGACCCCTTTTACTTGCCATTGGTTGTACATTGATAACTGGTATTGCAAAAACCTAGCTAATATTTCACTTTGTTAAATGTCTGTTTTCAGTTGTTTGTTTTTTTTAATTCAGAGAAATAAAAATTAAAAAATAATTAAAAATTATGTTCATCCTTATTTCTTGTTATATTTTAACTTTGAGCAGACACACCCTGGTCTCTATCTACATTACTAAAGAATCATTATGCACGGTAATTGTTGCTTATGAGTCTGAAACCTAACACGGGTCATTAATAATTCTGCATCCTCATAAAAAACATCTGCACAAGCAAGCCATGGCCGAAACAATGGTGTGGCACATCAGACACAATTTCTATCCCATGTATCCATTTAGCCAGTCTTTATAACAACAAACTGCTATCTGTCAGGACAACAGCCTTTGTTGTTTGATCATGCATCTTATGGAGCATCTAATGGGTGATCACACAGTACGACATGCTCAGATAATAACTCAGTACTTCCTGGTCACCTGGACCAGCATGAAAGGCCCAACAATGGGCGAGAAAATCAAAACAGTTCATTTCCTTTCATTCAGCTATTGTTGGTTTCAACCTTTGTTATACAGGTCTAAGTGTCAGGCTGAAGTTTAGTTTGAGTGCCAGCACTTATAAATGCCAATAGCATCCTCTTGGCTGCTTCTAAGATGGAGAGAAGAGGGAGATATTTGTTGCACCCGACGAGAGCGGGATGCTATTTTAAGAAACAATGCAGGAGCTTTGTTCAAGAGTTTCATTTATCATACAGCTGTCAAACTAAGATCGTTTAAAACTAAATCATGTCTACCCACAGTACCTTTGACATCCTTTGAGAAGACAAAGGCACAGAATTAATAATGAAAGTATAGTAGATGTTTGAAAACACTCATCAGATCATGTCTGTACAATTATTTAAATAATACTAATAAAAACAGTGTGTGTGAAGTACAGGGTTACTGCAGGTTTTATGAAGGTAAATTGAAAACCTTTTTAAGAACAAACAAAGAAAATCTAAGCAATAAATTGAAGGCAGCACATCAATATGCTGTTTAAATGTAAATGTCTAGGGAGCAGACAATGAGTTGTATTGGCAGCGCTTCAAATTCAACCTCCAACACATCTTTTCATTACTTTTTTATTAATTTTACAAAACTAATGGCTATGGCTTAAGGCTTTCATAGCTTTGCTTACAAACACTAGAATATGAAAATAACTTTTACTGATCACACTGCAATTCTTGCTCAGTATGTTTGTCTTGTTTTCCAGCAAAAATATTAAGATACATTTACTTGATACAGAAGATAAGTCTTGTGTTTTGTGAAACTGATCAAAATGAAGTAAGTTTGATATAAAAAGAATAGGCCTATCTGCCAATGGGTTCAACTTAATTCAAAATTAAAACAAGTTTTCATGCCCCAAATGTTTTCTTATTTTTAACAAACTCACATAGTTTCTCAAAAAATAAGACTTCATATCTTCATTTTACATTTCAAGGAAAATTAAATTTAAAGGAACACTCCACTATTTTTGAAAATAGGCTCATTTTCCAACTGATTAGACCGTTAGCATCTCGCTCATAAATGACCAAAGAGTTTCTATATTTTTCCTATTTAATGATGATGATCAATGATCCGTAATGATATTACGCAGCGCCTGAAAATAGGCTTATTGGAAGTTACCTAGCTGGGACTATTTTCAGGTGCTGCGTAATATCATTGCACCTGCTGCATTCATGGTACGGCAGCAAAGTTCCTTGATTATTACTAGAGCCCTACTGATATGGGTTTTTTGGGGCCGATACCGATACCGATATTAGGGAGTAAAAAAAAAGGCCGATACCGATATATCGGCCGATATTCTTTGTGTATATTATAGTACAGTACCAGTCAAAAGTTTGGACACTTTCCCATTTTTCAAAAATAGTGGAGTGTTCCTTTAAGGATGTTCAGCTATTTCTATGGGAAACAAGACAAAACACTGAGGAAGATATCAATTTTTTGCAATGCTTGACATTATGAATTTAAGAATTTTTTGTAAGATCTTTTAATGCCTTAATTTGTGGAATTAAGACTTCTTAGCAAACTTAATTTCTATGTGCTAAAAGTACTAAACTTTAATTCAACCAAACTGTGCCAGGACTCATGGGATTCACCAGGAGTATACCAAGAAAGATTTCAATGTGGAAATTAAATCTAGATTTTAAGCCACATGAAAATAATCTGAGAGGAGGGAGCAGTCAAGAATAAATGCCCCTCATATCAGTTTTAACCAGATGGTGCACATATGTGAAAAGTCCCTTTCAAGTTATCCAAATTTCCCAGACAAATATGAAAATTCAGCAATCAGTAACATGCTTTACATACGATTGAACATACAATGGACCTGTGTTCCTTCCTGAGCCTCACAATAACAAAACTTTAAATTTGAATAAAATAACAATGAAAGAAATCCCATACAAAGCTGTCACTGAGGAGGTATCCTTACATCTTTATATCGTGTCTAACCCTAAATGGTAGATATTAGTACCTTTGGAAAGGGCACCGTATCAAGTGACAGCTTCGTACCTTTTTTCCTGAAAGTTCATGTGCACCCATGATCAGTGAATTTGACACACAAGCACTTGCAACATGCTTTCATGTTCCTCCAGAGCTGAAATCAGTATTATTTAATAAACATAAATGCCTTTTTAAATACTCACTTGAATCTTCCCTGGCAGTGTTGACACTGGTCCCCAACCCATCCACGATCACAGACACAAGATCCGTTCACACAGCTGCCTGACAGGCAGCTCTTCTCGCAGGGTTTAGATGGAGAGCCGTCTGAAATCAGCACCAGGGAGAACATCACACACAGCCATAAATATCTCTGCATGCCCTGCAGTCTCTGTCTGACCAGAATCAGTTCAGGTCTGAGCATCTTCTTCCCAGCATTCATGGTTTAGGGATGCTGCTGCTGTTGCTGAATTGGGTATCAATATCTTAGGGCCTTTCTTCCCTGCTTACTGGTGCCCAGATTGTTTCAAGTATAACAGCAGGGGGGGATCCATTCACTTATAGATCATGAATATTCCTTAAATATGAGCGATCGTTTCCCAACGCGTGAGCAATCGTTTAATTGAAAACCTCCAGATCCGAGTGTAATATGATAAAACGAGCATAAACACAGGCATATTAAATCACCTGTCTCGCCTCATTGTGTTTCTGAACAAGGGCAGGAATTTCCTACGTTACCTCCTGCAGTTACAGGGCTGAAAAATAACTCCCCCTAACATTGAAAAAAACCTTTCCTTCCAGAGCATTACCATAAGAGATGAGATATTTCCAGCTTTAAAGCATCATATTATTCAGCGGTCTTATTTTGATCCCGTCCGCAGCCATTTTAAAGCGTAAACACTCCGCTGGCTGTCCAAATACACTGCTGGTGTGCTTTAAAAGCCTTTAAACCGTGAGCTTTTCGTGGCTAACGTTCATATGCCACGGGAAAAACGCTAAACGGAGAAGGTTTCGGAGTGAAAAGCATCCTTTATAACCACAGCAGTCAGTAACACGGATGTTGTTTCTGCTGTTGTCCGTTGCGCTGAGGGATTTGGAAAACCTGAGGAACTATCCGTTATCCGCATATTTGTTCGCTGTTTTTCAAGCTCAACGTGATAAACTCCTTAACGAACGCGTAGACCCTCAGTGTATGTATATATCCTCTTCGTCCCAGTGCGCTGAAACCCTCTCAGTGTGTGAATTTTGGCCCCCTCGACCACCGTTTAAGCTCCCATAGTACGAACAGCTCGCGCTGGCTGCTCCTCAGGTTGGAGCAAACTCAACACAGAGATGTCCGCGGCCGCGCATGCGCAATGGAAAGAGGCCATATTTAAAGAGACAGTGACCAGTATGTGCGTCTCTGGAATGTACATTGCAGTACTTGAAAAGCTTTGTTACACATTTTGTCTTCAGGAAGTGTGTGAAAACCTATCTTCCTACCGCTATTATAGATTTTTTTTTACAATGTACCAATTTCAAAACAGAATGGTCCATGCACTATTGACTACAGTAATGTATATTCTCACTAAATATGAAGGTTTTATGACCCAGATTTCAATCACATTTTCAAGCCCCCATCTTAAATATGAACTTTGTCCTTCTCTTGAGTGTTAAGGTGCATCTCAACACACTGTGTGCTGCCAACTTAAGTAAGGCTGAAATACTGTATGATGTCCAGCTCTTTGGGTTCATTTATTAGTGTCAAACTTTCATGCACCTTAAATATGTGCTCCCTTATACAAGTAATACGAAGCAAAGATCGTTTAGGTTTGGTAATTTTTTCTTTTTTTTTAAATGTGCTTGTTTCTATCATGCTCACCAAAGTTTCATTTATTTGATCAACATACAGTAAAATAGTATTATTGTGAAATATTATTACAACATAAAATAGCTGTTTTCTATTTTTATATATTTAGAAATGTAATTTATCTCTGAGACCACACCGTTGAATTTTCAGCAGTTATTACTCCCATGATCCTTCAGAATTCTAATATGCTGATTTGGTGCTCAAGTTACATTCATTATTATCACAGTTGAAAACGATTGTGCTGCATTTTTGTGGAAACCATGATACTTTTTTTCAGATTACATTAATGGATTGAAAGAACACAAGAACAGCATTTATTTTAAATAAATTTTTTTTGTAACAGTGTAAAAGTCTTTACTGACATAGCCTATTTGCTCAATTTAATGCATCCTTGCTGAATAACAATAACAAAATGAAAGTATACGGTTTGATCTAACATTCATATAGTACAGAACGCAAACGCTAGGTTGGATCTCTTTAAGACCGTAAAAAGTAAAACATATATTCACACAACAGTAAATCTGTTGTTATACAGAATGTACTTGTCAGGGAGTCTCACCACCGTCACCACAGTCACCAGCCCCATGCACACCAGATCCCAATCACCTGAATACTGATTGCCCGCACCTGTCTCAGCTCATTAAAGGGTTAGTTCACCCAAAAATGAAAATTAGTCCATAAATTACTCACCCTCAAGCAGGGGTGTGAAGTAACGAATTACAAATACTCACGTTACAGTAATTAAGTAGTTTTTAGCAGTAATCATACTTTTTTGAGTAGTTTAAAAATTGTGTACTTTTACTTTTACTTGAGTACATTTTAAGTGATGTATCGGTACTTTTTACACCACTATTTTCCTCCGTTTGTGGTCGTTACATGATTATTTCAATTTTATTTTTATCCATCAACGTGATTGGCAGTGTTGGGGAGTAACTAGTTACATGTAACGGCGTTACGTAATTTAATTACAAAATAAATGTAACTGTGTTACTAAGAAATAATGTGTAATTAAATTACAGTTACTTATGAAAATGTTAACGATTACAAAGGGGATTACATTTGAATATTTACACACTTCCACATACAGATTTAATTGATTTCTTTCCCAAATTGCGCTGACTACTCTGAGACATACGGCCCTATAATTTCCGCGATGCGGAAAACACAGACTGGTTTGTAGAATCCAGTCGTAAAAACGGTATTCCTATAGCCTAACGCGGAAGGAATATGCCACATTTTGGACGAATAAATCAAAAGTACATCAGTGCACTTGAATCAAAACGCGATATGGACTAGTGTCTGTGAATATTAGGCCGCGAAAAGACAATATATGAATCCTGCACGTTCTGCGTGTCTGTGGAAATCAGGCGCGGACTGGCCATCGGGAGAACCGGGAC